TTTTTCATTATGACATTTTAGTACCTAAACTTTTTACATTTTACATATTGGTCCTTGGTTGAGGATGTCATTTGGATTCATGGATAATCCACCAAGCCACTTGATCCAATCCATGAATCCACCAATCCATTAAATCCAATCCATTTGATCCATGGATCCACCAATCCAATCCACCAATCCACCAATCCAATCCATTTGCCACCTCTAGATAGGTGAATATTTTTAATGGGTTGATGGATTGGATTGGTGGATTGGATTGAAAATTGCCACCTCTAGTTCTGGTACTAGTTTTTCTACAGGGTCCTCGACTGACCAGGACTCACCTTCCCCTCCTCCGGTTGTTCAACCACTAGGGGTGTATAAATGTTGTGGTTACCATGGTAACCATTTAAACTGGTAGTATTTGGTTAATTTGGATAACGGTTTGGTGTGGTTAAATTTTTTAATTTGTTTGGTTTTGGTGGTTTGGTTTCAGAGACTGCTAACCAATCAAACCAAATTAATCAGTTAACTAATTAGCCATATATCTAATAACCACTCAAGAGTCAAACGTTCCTCTCTCTTAGGCTCATAATAAATAAAGCTCAACTTGTTTGGTTTAGATAAAACTAATACATTATGTTGGAAGCAAACTTGTGAGGAAGGTTTTTTTTAGCCTAGGATGATTGCTAAGAGACTAAGTCAATTTACATAACACAACAATTCATTAATCCCATATCATTGACATATATTTTTGTTACGTGAATACTTATATTGATAGTAAGATAATTGTATTAGTTACATGTATATACGTTAAGACTTAAGAGTTAACTATAACTATGTGTTGTTTGTTATGTTTTATTGGTTATATAAATTATTAATTGATGCATTAACTGGAGATTTTTCTCAATGATAATGTGATGTTATATTGGTTAATCTAGTTAACCAATTAACCAAACCGATTAAACTTTAGTTTGGTTAATTTGGTTGTTGTGTTAGTTTGGACGGTTTGGCTATTACATTGTATTCCATAATTAATAAGATTTAGACTTATTTAGTTTGATAATTACCACAATAACCATTTGAACACTCCTATCAGTCACATGTTGTTCACCCGCAGCCCGCAGGTTCCTCTTTTTCGGTCACAAAGGGCCACTCTTGGCCAACCTCCACTAAGAATGAATGACTATGCTGGCATTTCTGTAAAATAAATCCATGGCCATTCCCAATACTTATGCACAAGCCGTTGGTAATCCTACCTGGGAGATGACTATGCGCGAGGAGAAAAGTGCATTGGATGCAAACTACACATAGAATCTCGTGCCTGGAGAGTCTGAGATGTCCGTTATTGAGAGCATGTGGGTGTACACGATTGAAATGCAACCCGATGGTACACTAGAAAGGTATAAAGTTTAGAGCAAGGTTTTCGACAGGAGTATAAGATTGATTATGAGGAAACCGTCGCTCCCGTGATGGTAGTTGCAGTTATGAAGGGTGGGTCTCTTTGTCAGCTGGATGTGAAGAATGCTTTTCTTTTTGGTGACCGTAAGGAGACGATTTACTTGGAATGACCATTGGGATATAAGAAAGTTGTCCAGCTATAGTGTGTCTACTAGTGAAGTCATTGTAAGGACTGAAGCAAGCTCCTAGAGCATGGTTTGAGAAATTTCTTGGGAAGATCCTAAAGGCAGGGTCTATGCAGAGCCAAAATGACTGAGCTATATTTGTTCAGTCCACTATGGATGAAATTGTGATCTTACTAATCTATATCGATGACATGATTATTATCGGCAGTGATACTAGTGGAGTTCATGAGGTTATCGAGGCTCTGTGATAGTTCTTCAACTTACAGGATCTAGAAGAGGTTTCATACTTTCTCGGCTAAGAGGTACAGAGATCGGCGTCTAGTTTGTTTGTATCTCAAAGAAAGTATATCTTGGATTTGATGAAATCCTCACAGTTGAGAACTGCACTCCGTGTTCTACACCTAGGGAGCAAGACTTGAAATTGTGTCAGGATAGTGGAGACTTACTTGAATTGATCTTATGCACCCAACATTGACGAATACAATTATTGTTTGTATAAACGATCACGACGAGTCTTCATATTCTGAAAGAAATGCAAAATATATTCATTGTCTACACTTTTAAATAAGTTTCTTTCAATGTATCCCACTAAACAATCATTAGAAAACTAATCGCCAATTCGACTTGGAAACTTGTTCTTAATTTAGCTCAAACCAAAAATGTTCTTTCTACACTTATAATTGCAACTGGTAGTATGAAGACTAGTTTGAAAAGAAAATATATTGAGTGGTATGAGTGATGAACTTTTGTCTCCACCATTACTCGAGATAATTCATTAGAAACAACTGTTGTCGAATAATAATATCATGAATGAAACCAATAAATTAACTAGTTTTTTTGTCATGAACAAATTATGAGTTGTGGTGTAGTAATAAAACATCCTTATATTACTTATAGGTGTGATATTTTTGTTCCACCCCCAATGTTACCCCTGTCCCGTGACACCGCCTATGGCCACCTTTCCCCACCGAAAGCCGCTATGGATGATGGAACTCAAAAGTGGCTAGACCAACCAACCCGAATGTAGCGGAAACGAAGACAACACAATACCACCTCTGACCCATCTCCGCCAGACCAAACTCCTTCTATACTTCGACGAACCCGAGCACCAAGAAGACATCTAGACGAATGGGAGGTCGATGATTGATCCTTGAGACCGATCTTCCGTCGCCAAGATCTTCAAACCGAGTCCAATCCAGAGGCCACATTGTGTTAACAAGATTATGTTAGTTATTTATTATTTAGTAAATGTATCAGAGTCAGAGAATAATGATTTGGATTACATTGTACTCTGTCTTATAAATTAATTGATGTTTTAGGATAAGATGCTCTGAACCGTATTAAGAATGATTGTCTCTTTGCCTACTTAATGATATAGTAGGTGCGTTCAATGTTATAATTAAAAATTTACAAGTGAAATTTTATGTATTATAATGTTGGATGCATGGGGGCGGGGTTTACTAAACCTTCCCCGCATAGATAAGGGATGAATACGAGTATGTATATTTGAAAGTAGAGATGGGGTAATGGGTGGTAATCGGTCAGTTATCGGTTTAACCAGTAATCGATTAGCAGGTTAACGGTATACCAATTTATGTCAAACGACCTCCGACTACCGATATCGGTCGGTTGTCGGTACCGACTAACCGATTTCCCGGTTACCAGTTAACAATATAATATAGTAACCTTTACAACCGACTCCTCTTCCAGTCCAACGCCGATCCCGACCAATCCTCAATCTCGCAAACCCTTAAACACCAAACAGACAGATCTATTCTTCCACCACCGCCGCCTTCGCTCTCAGCACTCCCGCCGCCTTCGCTCTTCCTTTTTTTATCCCTTCCATCATTCACTTTCGTCTCCCTGAAGTGAGTAGAGAAGGAGAGAAGGGAAAGGGTTTCCTAATTGCGTGAGGCATACATGGGAAGGGTCGAATGGATTGTTTTGCAAATACGGGAAGGGTGTTTTTTCAGTAAGCGATTTACCGCCTAAATGTTGGTTACTAATCGGGTAGAATTCGGTATACTAGGTGATGTCTTTTGGCCACCGTATATCGATATTATCGGTTATCGATATAACCGGTAATCGGTTATACCGTTAACCATTAAACTGATTACCACCCCTAGATGGGGATAGTTTAGACCAAGGTTGTCAAACCGGTTTATATCGTTGTGCCGGTTTCGCAAGTGGAATGGTACGACCGGTAGTATTAACCAGTTTGTGTCGGTTCATGCCAGGTTTAAAAAAAAGTGAAAACAGTTAATATCCAATGTATTTAATCATATATAAAACATATTTGTGGACAATTTACTTACAATACAACAAATATCATCAACTTTTAACAATTAAGTTCACAAAATGAAAAAAAAATTAACTCTTTTTATTAATTAAAAGGATATCATTTTATTTAGAATTATTAGTCGATCATACCAGTATTACCGATGGTGTCACGTCGACTTCATAACTAACACAGGTTGAACCAAACTCAATCCGCCAATATATTACCGACATAACAACTATAGTTTAGACAAACCCGCCCATCTTCATCCAAGAGTATCAATGGCCACTAGGGATGGCAACAAAACCCGAACCCACGGGTACCTACCCGACCCAGCCCGGTCAACGCGGATAAAACCCGTGTTGACGGGTTTTGGGCCGGGTTCAGGTTTAAACCCGCTACACTATTCACCGGGTCGGGTTGGGTTTGGGTTTAGGTAAACCCGCCCCATGGGTACCCGTCCACACACATATAATTACTTTCCCGGTATATTTAATATTCTAAATAATATATCTTCCTTAAACAACTAATATTCTTTATGTTTGTGGAGAAATGTATAATTTGTTATTTCTAATTGTTTAGAATGAAGTTGATATTATGAAGTGAAGAATGAAGAAACTTAGTTGACGAGGAAGAAACTTTCAATTAATCTTATTGTTTATAGATGTTTATCTTTGATTTTGAACAATTTGTATTGATCATTTGCGGTTTGCTTGTATGTTCTAGATTGGTGTTTTTTGTATGATTAATTTGTATAAGAAAATTGATGTTAAACTTTTATTTTAAAAGAAACTTGTTATTGTAAATTTTTTGCTAGAAAAACCCACGTGTACCCATAAACCCGCAGATACCCAGCGGGTTGGGTTGAGTTTGAGTTTTTCAAACCTAACGGGTTTTACCCCGAGTTTTTTTGCCGGATAAACCCATGAATTTAGATTTGGGTTTGACAAAACCCGCCCCATCCCGACCCATTACCATCCCTAATGGCCACCTGACCACCTCATTTCATATCCAATGACGAGTAGCGTCTTACAGTCTAGCGATCCATCGGCGAGGTGAGGTCCCCACTACAAAAACAGTAGACCCTGTAAGCTTACTCACTAAGCGAAGAAAGGATAATAAAGCCATAAAAGGCACACGTCTCGCGAGTCGCGACACCATCCGATCTCCACGTTTTCACACGTGTCGACACTGCTGCCTGCCACGAAGTAAACTTAGTAGAGGAACCGGGAGGCGGGGGGAAAGAAGGAACAGAACAGAACAAAACAAAATAGACGCGCAGCGGCAGCACTTGGCTCCGTTTTACTTCCTCCGTTCCGTTCCTTCCGTTGATCCAAAAACACGCGCTAACGTTTTATAGAGAAAAATCTATAAAAGGAGTACTAACCGGTTTCCATGGATCTTCTCCGCACTTCCCCACTATTCACTCTCACGCTTCTCATACTCATCTCTGCCTCTTCTTCTGCGATTGCCAGTCTCTGCCAAGTCTCCGACCACCACCACCACCACGATCAAATGGCCGCCGCTACCCCTATCCTCGGAGGCGTTCGCGATTCCCCCGCAGGCTCCGCCAACAGCGCCGAAATCGAGGGGATTGCCCGGTTCGCCGTCGACGAGCACAACAAGAAGCAGGTGAGCCGCCGATTGATCCATCTCTTTCCGTCTTTTATTTGTTTCTATCCGTCGCCTTCTTTGTTTGGTGAATGAAATCGTTCCTCTTTTTTTTTTTCACCCCACTTTGTTTGATGGTGGGAAATCAGAATGCGGTTGTGGAGTTCCTGAGGGTTGTGGAAGCGAAGGAGCAAGTGGTTGCTGGGACGCTTCATCACTTGGTTATCGAGGCGATTGATGCCGGGAAGAAGAAGCTCTACGAAGCCAAAGTGTGGGTGAAGCCATGGATGAACTTCCAGGAACTGCAGGAGTTCAAGCACGCTGGCGATTCCCCTCAACTCACCCCTTCTGACCTCGGTGTCAAGAAAGGTTAGCTTCAAAAACCCCATTTGCCAAATCCATGAAATGTTTGATTGATGGTTTCCCTCTCATCGACTATGGAATCATTGAGATAGTGTTGAAGTGATACACATAGGGTAGAGAAAAAGATTTCATTTTCAGACTCGTGCTCTGATTGGTAGTGCGTATTTCAGAATGCCATGGATCTGGGCTGAAGGATGTGGCTTCTCATGACCCCGCGGTTCAAGATGCAGCTGATCATGCCCTGAAGGCGATTCAACAGCGCTCCAACTCATTGTTTCCTTACGAGCTTCAAGAAGTTGTCGACGCCAAGGCTGAGGTTTGTTTGTTCGTTCCTCTTCCCATTTGTACCTTCGGTTATCTTCTGTCGGCAACTGCATTTTCAAGTCTTAGGGAGTGGGTGCTGATTTTGGAATGCTGCAGGTGTTAGATGATTCTGCAAAATTCCATATGGTGCTCAAGGTGAAGAGAGGAACCACTGAAGAGAAGATGAAGGTTGAGGTGCATAAGACCACTGAAGGCACTTTCCGTCTCAATCATATGGAGCTAACTCACTGATCTATGTAAATATATGGGCAGACTATATATGTGTAATGTGTTTATGTTCAAGAGTGTGATCTTGTAGAAACCTTCAAACAGCTTTATGGCTTCGGAACGTGTAATGGGATATATGCTATATAGCGTTTCTATTATGGCATTGTGTAAAAGTGTCGGAGCGAAATAGAATCTAAGAACTGGATTTAATTGGTCAGGATACTCTTCTCGATCCAATTCTGTGCTTCTTTAACCTCCGTAATACAGATTCTGGACCAGTTACGTTTCCCGACCAAGGAGATGAACACAATAATACTAACAGAGGAAGGCCATCTTGGATGCTGGATGGATGGCTAGCTGCTCCTAACATTAGACTTTCTTACATTACACAAACTGCTGTCTTCTTCTCAGATAGTCGACAGAACCTACTGGGATATCATTGGCTTTTCCTGTTAGCAGATGGGTTCTAAGAACTACGCGAGACCAATAACAAGTAACGAGAAGGGACATCACTAGAAGATCATCCTTCTTCATCGTAGTCTTCTTCCTCGTCCATCCTCGTGCTCAGCTGTGCCAGCTGTAAGGGGTCAATAGCCATCTTGTCCACCTCTGAAAGAGACCAACCTGGATATTCTTCACGGGTGGTGGTTTCTGGTGCCGTGGATGAAGTTTGGCCGGCAGGTGCAGGACCCAAGGCTGACGAAGAAGCTGCTAATGTCGCAGCTGCAGCAGCTTTCACATCTTCATTGTCCTTGACCTCAGCATTAAGATCGAAGTTCCGTTCAGGTTGATCGGCTGTACCATCCGTAATTGCTACCATAGGCTCTTTTGTCAACATCTCCTTTGAATCCATTACGTCGTCTATCATCATTCCAGGAACTGGGTTGTTGCCACGTGGAGTTGTACAAGCAGCTTCAGAGTCGGCCTCACGATGAGCAGATTCCTTCTCCATGTTCCGAGCCCCTCGACCGCGGCCTCTACCTCGCCCACGACCTCTACCTCTACTGCTAACACCCGTGTGGCTCGCATCATGCTATAATGGAAGCAAACAAACATCCACATATTAAGTACAAAAACACTTCCACAAACTAGCAAAGCTAAGAGCAACAAAAACAGACCCATAAGGCTTTGGGATGATGGAAGTAGAGGGAGATATTGGCCAGGTACGACGTGAGGAAAAATTGATAAGAGAACCAGCACTGAATGTGTTCAAAATTCAAACCATGAACACTAAAGCTGACAATCTTACCATCCTGCTTCTCTTCAATTCTTCATCGCTCTCATTGCCTTCATCCATAATGGGCTTCCTGTCGAAACACATATAGTCAACCATCTGACAAACACGAAGATAATAGAAACCAGGGAAAAACTTATCAGCTACTGACCTCTTATGAAGAATTCTATGATCTGCAGGTGCATCAGGGTGGCCATGACCATGGCCATAATCAGGAACCCTGCTAACAATTTCTCGCAGAAAATCAAACACATTATAGCTCTGGACACAATGTTTTCTGCATCAAAGACAAGAGAGGAAGTATTAAAGAGGCAGAAACCATAATGTTAACCTTCTAATGAACAAGATCTTCACAAAGATGCAAACTTTGACAAAAGAAAAAGAAGGCACAAAGTAGCCTCTTAGTTAAATGAGTTTTTCCTACGTCATCTAACTAACAACACTGCCAGTGGGCTACCAGAAGAAACCAGAGTGTCAGGTGATAAATAACCGGAGGATCAAATATTACATTGCTACGACATGCTATCACCAATCCATTCATATGGCCAAATAAGCATCAAACTTCCTCCGATTAAACAGCAAGCTGGTTACTTACAGGTGGAGTGAACTCATGGTCTTTGCTCCTCTCTGAAGGGTGACTTCATAAGTTCGATCACAAAGGTCTTGCAAAAACAATTCCAATGCTTTAGCTGCACAGACATCCATAGAATATGAGGATTAAAAGTGCTGAACAAAATTTTGAAACCACTAGAACAAATGTCTCATTACTTACAAACTAAGACAGGTACTGCAAGGGCTATCTTGCCAACATCCTCATCAGCTTGCATTATTTTTTTTATGCGAGCCTGTCAAAATCAATAGCTGCCCCTTAGATCAAAATACCCAAAAAACACAACTGAGAGTCAATAATGTTTGCACACACACTAAATTTACAAAGTGAGCATCAATCTCTGAGGACTCAAGTAAGGCCAAATGAGGTAATCCAAATCTGAGTAAGTGCAAAAGCTTCAAGAAATTCAACTGATGCGGTGTCTTAATTCACAAGCATACAACGCCAGCATTAAGGAAGAACAATTGAAGCTGTCACAACAAAGCATCAGAAAAATAGAGCCCAAAAATCGCAGTAAATATATGTTGATGTCAAATCCAGAATGACCCACTACTAGTCTACTTAATGCTGCCAGCTAAGCGGCAAGAGTGACAGCAAAAGTATGGTCGAACGAAAGATGGTCGAGAGTCATTTGTAATTAGAGAAGTTCTAAATGCACCAGTTAAGAGAGCATGAGTGGCAGCAAAAGATGCAAGATATGACCTAGAATAGCATGAAATCTGAGAGAGGTATCAAATGGGAATTGCTTTTGGTATAACAGGAAACGAAACTGCTCTTGTGAAGCTGAAGGAACAAAACCTATTGGGCCAGACGCAGGTTCAACGTACTGAGACCAATTTTCCAAGCTACTCAAGCTATAAATCAGAATAAGTACTCTGACAGATGAATCTACTGGTTTTGCGAGCACATATGTGCTAATGGGACTGGAACATTTTCCCATACAATTATGGGGGAAACATGACCAAGTTCAAGTCATCAATGAGCTTTACAACACACAAGCTATGTGTAAGCAAACCATAGCAGACACGATGCCCTTAAACTTTCCATAAGAGACAGTCTTCTGTTACCGTAGGTATACAGCGAAAACAAAAGTTAGAGATTACAAATTTCGCTATAAAAGCTAGTGGCAAAGGTCAATAGAAGCCCTAAATTCACGACCACAATTCAGTTCTCTAGTTTTGAATTGAATAGCACATCAAACAACTGTTTCACTTACAAAGCCCTAAATCATCCCATCTATTTCCCATTCTGAACAAATATATGCAATTAATAACCACAGAAAGCCAATCAATGAACAAGACCACCTAAGAAAACTCCGAAAAGAAAAACAGACAGATACATAGAAAAGCAGTTAAACCCTACTAGCATGTACCGAGACAAGAATAATCAATCAATCAAAATTTACACTTCCCAGAAAAGCTGTAAGCAGAGCAATAGTACAGAACCAGGTAAAATTCTAATCATCAACTATTCAAGGTAGCCAAACTATGCAGGAATTCAAATTAGTCACAAATCATCTCAATCTTCTCCCTCTTCATTTTTTCAAGTCAGTTGCTTTCCCTCATTTCCTCCCAACCCCTAACAACCCAGTAGCTGAAAACCAAATTAAACCACGAAATGAAGACAAAAAACCCAGAAATGGGCAAGCCAAACATCGCAACACCAACAAATGGATCAAAAAGTCAAAACAACAATCTTTTCCACGGCAAACCAAACAGACACGGAATTTCAGATCGAAGAATTGAAACCCACTCAGAAGATACACGAGACTTACAGCCGGGAAGCGGGTATCGAGCTTCTTCCTCATGCTGCCAGATTAGAAGCATAAAATCCGACGGAGAGAAACCACCCTAATACACAGCCAAGAAATGAGAATTCTCCTCTCTCAAGTCGCAGTAGCAGTTCGAAAGAGAAATCGACAAATCAATAGATGATTCCTTTAACCATTTATGGATCAAACAAGCTCTGAATCTAACAAGATTTTCATGTAAGCTGCAAAAAAAATTCAGAATTCAGATCTGCAGAAAAGAAAGGCACTAAAATACAGAACTTCGTTTCCGTGGAATATCCGTCCGTCATGTTTGACAGAAAAAATGCAAAAATTATATGAAAAAGGGTGATACCGTGACGACGGTTGCAGACATATACGTGTGACAGTCCAATCATGAAATAACAGAAAAAATTGTTGGGCTTATGATGACGTGGCGGCCTATATATGGACAGCCTTTAGCATGTTTAATTAAATAAAACACACTTTTGGCCCTATCCAATTAGTCCATTTCCTTGATTATTATTTTTCTCCCCATGAACATAAATCGAAAACGAAACCTATAAACATTCTCGTCGTCTTCCTCGACCCCTCTCTCCGTCAGTTTGTGAAAGCAACAAAAAGTTCTGGTGAACTTCTCCGTCGCTGATCAAATCCACCTTTAAAATCTCTATTGGTCGGCGCTCCACCGAAACTATTCAGTTGCCAACGCATCCACACGATCCTATGCATCGTCCTCCTCGTTCTGCGACCGGTAACGAGAGGCATGCAATTTTTTTCCAAAAAATATTGAAAATGGATATCATTTTGTAAAGCACAACGAACTCGTTTCATCTGTAAAAAAAAAAAATCCGAGTTAGAACGAAGAAGATAAGAGTCGATTAATACAACTATATAGAACAAAAAGCTTTTAATTCCCCACCCTTAAATCTGAATATTTTGGATCCAAATAAAAAATTAGGTTTATATTTAGTTATGCAAGGATGTGCACTCTAAGAGCCCGTTTAGTATAGTTTTGTTGTTGTTGTGCTTGCAACAGGGTTGGTACAATTCTTCTGCAACCACAACAACACTGAAATAGAAAACAAAAACCTGTTTAGTTCTTATTTCTGACAAATTATGAAAATTAGCAACAAAAAACAGAAACACATTTAGTTACTTCTAAGTTCTAATAATATCTCGAAACTAGAAAATGATGGAAATATTCTCAATATAAAGCATAGTCTCACCAAAAGTAATAATATAGTACATAAATCTCGTTCCTTGCCAAAAATCATTTATTTTGATAATCATTCCACATATGATCTGCAATTGCATCCCGATTCTCATTCATTTCACGCGATACAACAGTCCAGCTATTAAACTCGATAAGTGGTACGTCAACACCAGATCATGAACCTTCTTCATCTTCATAATTTGCATATTGTGAAATAGTTCATCTTCTTCAGCATAAATCTTGATGAAATTATGCAAGACACAACAAGCAATAACAATACTTGTTTGCTTCCTCAAGCTATACGACCGCATGAATTTTATAATTGAAATCCTGCCTTCAATATTCAAAAGTAACGCTCAAGAACATTGCGCAGACTTGAATGTCCGAAGTTGAATAATTCAAGATGCCCTTTTGATCCACTTCTACGTCTCATATTTTGAAAATTAGTTTTAGCTCCTCGATATGGTTCTAAAAATCCTGAGATATTTTGAAATGCAAAATCCACAAGATAGTAGTTACCTACAAATAAGAAGTTGAAAGTGAACTAATATAAAATAGTGTTTACTCATATGTTATCGGCGAAGTGAAGGAGAAGTAGGAAGAAGGTGCGGTAAGCTTATCCGACGTTCTTACCTTCTTGGGACTCCATGGACCAAGATCTGATTTCATTATATGGGCAATACCGATCTACTTTAGTGGATCATATGGATGTAGCAAAAGCTTCTGATTTTGATGAATTGGAAACATCCCTTTTCAATTTCTATTTACCTATTTCATATCTTTCTTTCGTGTGTTCCAGGGGCTTGGGATAGGGTGAGTAACCCTATGTTACTCACCCGTGAGTAACCACCTTAGGACCGTAGATCTGGGCCGGGCTGATCGTGTGGCTGTGGTTGATGCGGTGATGGTCAGGGGCAATTTTGTCCGAAATTTGAATTAACGACTTCCGCCTTTTGTCCGTTGCGGATCTTTTTCTGTGCGCGAGTTGGATTCGGATTTTGGAGAGGGAAACTGCGAGCAGCAGCTGAGAAACAGGGGACAGCGATTCTCCATAGTTAATCGACGAGCAGCAGCTAATCGAATCGAGGTTTATGATTCTCCCTAATTGATCGACGTGTGCGCGAGTTGAATTCGGTTTTTGGAGAGAGAAAGCTGCGAGCAGCAGCTGAGAAACAGGTGACGGCGAATCTTTTCTGATTCTCCATAATTGATCGACGGTGATGGAAACTGCGAGTAGCAGCTAATCGAATCGAGCTTTCTGATTCTCCATAATTGATCGACGGCGAGGTTAGATATTATTTTTTTTGATTCTTCCTGTTTAGCTAATCGAGTTTTCTGTTTATCTTTGGTTTTGTTGAGCGTTTTGACGATCTCTGGTTTCGTTGGAGGTTTTTCATTGCTGCTATTCGAGCTTGTTCATGTTTAGCTAATCGAGCGTGTTTGAGTTTCTCTGGTTTCGTTGTAGGTTTTGTAGAATTTACTTTCTCTGAGTTTCTTTTGTGTGTTCCGTTTAGCTAATCGAGCTTGTTCATGTGTTATGTTCTTTCTGTTTTGGTTTTTTTGCAGTATTCTGGTGAGATGAGTTACGTAAATTGTGGCGATGTTGTTCCATTTGATAGATCTGGTTCTTCAACCAGCGTTGTAGGATCTGGTTCTTCATCTAGCGTTGTTGGAACTGCTTCTTCATCTATCGATCTTGGATTTGGTCATTCAGCTAACTCTGGTGAATCAGGAGGTAAGATATACAAATTTGTTTGTTTATTGAAGTTTGAATGTGTTAGATACCATATGGTACCATGGTGGTAATTACTGGTATACGATGAGAGGTGATAATATAGTGTTGTGTTGTGATGTTATTGTGCTCTGTATTTAAGTTTTACCATATCATACCATGGTGGTAATTACTTGTACCATGGTTGGAATCATCGGTATAGTGTCGTAATTTGATTTTACCATGCATTACCATGTGGTATAGTGTGGTAGTTTCAAGTTAAAGGTGGGGTTATGTGTGATCATTGATTTTACCATGTCATACCATGTGGTAAAATATGGTAATTTGATTTTACCATGCCTTACCATGTGGTATAGTGTGGTAGTTTCAAGTTAAAGGTGGGGTTATGTGTGATAATTGATTTTACCATGTCATACCATGTGGTAAAATATGGTAATTTGATGTTATCATGTATAGTTTGTGGTATAGTGTGTGTTTTTGGGATTTTTGTTGCTGCTGTAAGTGATTTTACCATGTCATACCATGTGGTATAGTGTGGTAATGTGATTTTACCATGCCATACCATGTGGTATAGTGTAGTAATTTGGTTTTACCATGCTATACCATGTGGTATAGTGTGGTAATGTGATGAGATGTGATTCTGTTGTGCCATGAAATTCATTTTACCATATCATACCATGGTGGTATTATAATTGTACATATTTAATATGTTGCTTCATAATGTTTATAGGTTTCAATGGTATAGATCCTACTGTTCGTGATTCTTGGAAGGACTTACAGTTTAATACACCGGATGATGCATACAATTTCTATGTGGATTATGGGAATCATGAAGGTTTTGGTGTGAGGATTTATAATCAATCAGCGTGTCCGAAGCTCAATGGTGGTTCTTCAGCTGTATATTATATAAAGTATTGTTGCAATAAGGAAGGTTGGAGAAGAAGTAGCGAGAATAACCCTGATAATGCAGGTGTTGTTGATACGAATGTTCGTGTTCGTAATGTTCCAGAACTCAGGGGTGGATGTAATGGTGCTTATATACGACTGAGGTGGTTTAAAGAGTTTAAATGCTACAAGATCTATCGTTGGTATAATGTGCACAACCATGACATGATTCCTGAGTCTCTGCGTCACTATGTGAGATCCAGCAGACGAATGGCTCCTGTATATAAGATGTTGGCAGAGGTGAATGATGCTGCTGGTATTGGTGTGACTTCTTCGTATAATACAATTAGTAGGGCTGGTGGTGGTCGGAAGTTTGTTGGGTTCACAAAGAATGATTTGAAGAACCATCTGCGAACGGTGAGGACGTTATCAATGGAGTATGGTGATGCAACTGCATTGCTTGAATACTTTAGACGTCAAGCACAACTGGATCATGGGTTCTTTCATGAGGTGGAGGTTGATGTTGAAGAGAACATTGCTAGTATTTTTTGGGCAGATGGGAAGATGAGGATGGATTATCATTATTTTGGTGATTCAATTAGTTTTGATACTACTTACCGGACTAACAAAGAGTATCGGCCACTAGGTATGTTTTCTAGTTTGTTGTTTATTATTGTCTTTGTGAGTTTTTATGATTATTATTATTATCATTTTGTATCATGGTTATTTTGTTCTTAAAAGTCTGTACCATATGGTATGGGTTGGTATGGATTGCTTTTATGTTCTTAAAAGTATTTTACCATATGGTATGTGTTGGTAACAAGGTTATTTGAGGTGGTTTTTGCGTTGTTAGAAGTCTGTACTATATGGTATGGGCTGGTATGGATTGTGTTTTTGTTCTTAAAAGTCTTTTACCATATAGTATGGGTTGGTAACAAGGTTATTTGAGGTGGTTTTTGCGTTGTTAGAAGTCTGTACTATATGGTATGGTCTGGTATGGATTGTTTTTTTTGTTCTTAGAAGTCTTTACCATATGGTACGGGTTGGTATTATTGTTATTCGTACCTTTTACCACATGGTATGTGTTGGTAGAATTGTTTTTACTCACATTTTCTTATGTTTTTGTAGCTTTGTTTGTTGGTTTCAACAATCATCACCAACTGACTGTCTTTGCGGCTGCTCTTCTATATGATGAAACAACGACAA